ACTTCAAAACGTCTGCGATATTTCAAAATTCAGTTTTGCAATTCTTGATTCAATCAATAAAATAAATTGACTCAGTGATTAATTTTTTTGAGACACCCCCTATAAGCAAAACCAAAAATTATGAATGGAATGATAAATCACAAGTATAGTCTCATCCTATCTTGGACATTTTAGAGAGGATTCATTTGGCAAAATTTTGGGCTGACGTCATCAATTTTTTGGAGGGGATAAGTAAATATATTTTGAATAAAAATTTATTATGCTTATCATATGTATAAAACATCTGCAAGATTTCAAAGCATTCGGTTTTGTAGATTCAAAATTAAATTGTAGGTGAAACGAAGTTCACGGGGTCAGCTAGTTTAATAAATAAAAACGGAAATCAGAGCAATAAAAAAGTCTTCACGATTTTTTCTGCTTTTCTGTTTACCCTTGAAAATCGGGGTGTTTTCCTTAAAAAAGTAGCTGTGTTCACTAGGGCCTACTTACTACTTATACTTTAAAAACAAGGGTAATATGCTTAAAAAACAAAGTGTTTTGAAGGGGCCTTACTAGTAGTAAAGAGCATCATAAATTTTTAGTTAAAATATATTTAGTTATCCCCTCCAAAAACTTGATGACGTCAGCTCAAAAGTTTGCCGATAAAATAAATAAATAAAATCTAAATAAATAAATCCTATCTAAAATGTACAAAATATGATTCATATTTTTTGGATTTACATTTACAGAGTGACTCAAAAAAATTAATGATGCGTAAATTTATTTTTCCCCTCCTGACATGTAAACAAAACATTCACACACGTTTGAAAGCCGCGTAACAATGACTTTACGCACCAAATATCAATTTACCGTTGCTTTACCGCCTTTGGGTACCAAAGTAACTCAATATGCATTAGCCTCTAGAAGCTGTAATAAAAAAAGTTCTAGATAAATAATAAAAGAAAACATACTAGAACACTACTTTACATCATGTTTTGTTCGATCAAAATTTTTGAATTAGAAAAAATGAATTATTTAAAAAAAATCATGTGGCGCCATCTCGTGGCTGTCGGTAATTACTGTATTCCACTCTGGATTCCTTCAGTAAACGTCAAGTCTCGAAACTGTCACTTCATTTATTTCCATTTCGGAGAATATTTTTAAAAACAAATATTTTTTAAAATAAAATCAATGTCGGGGAAAAAATTGAATACAATTTTCGTGCTTTAGGCATTTTGCAGGTTTCGGTTCAGGGCCTCAACCCGTAAAATGCATCCTACCGCACTCATAATGTAAATAACTATTACTGATTTACTCAGGAACTACAAAACCGAATCCTTTAAAATCTTGAAGATGTTTTAAAGTTATCATAAGCATGGTAAGTTTTTTATCAAAATGTATTTGCTCATCCCCGCTAAAAGAATTATGACGTCACCCCAAAATTTTGCTGAATGAATCCTATCTAAAATGTACAAAATATGATGAGTCTCTTCTTGTGATTTATCATTCCATTCAAATTTTTTGGATTTGCATATACAGGGTGACTCAAAGAAATTAATAAATGCGGGAATTTATTTTATTGATTTAATAAAGGATTACAGAACCGAATGCTTTCAAATCTTGGAGATGTTTTAAAGTTATCATAGTCATAGGCATGGTAAATGGTTAGTCAAAATGTATTTGTTCATCTTCCCTAAAAAATTTATGACATCACCCAGTGGCGTATAACAATCAAACTCCGGGCCTGTGTTCTACAACACTGTGGGGCCCTTAATGAACAGCGAAATAAAAATTATTTAAAAGTACGAGTATAATGAGTAAAGTATGAGTATATTGCAGTTAGGGCTTACGTTTTACTAAAATCATTCTACCTGAAACACTAAATTAAAAAAACAAAATACAATAACTACCTGAATACACATAATTAAAATATACATATTAGAAATAAAAATGCCCATTTTTTTATCACAAAATTTTTTTCTTCTTGCTTTCCAATGGGCACAAGTATCAACTTGATTGTATCAACAAGATTTGATATAATTATCTAAGCTTCTGGTAATTTGATTTTCAATTGAGATAATAGCCAGTGAAGATAATTTGCATTGGCCCATTGTGTTTTTTAAAAAAAATTTAGTCATTTTTAATTTCGAAAAAGATCTTTCCGCTGAAGCCACCGAAAGAGGTACTGTAAGAAAAGTGAAACTTGCTGTGATAATTTCACTGAAACTAGTGCAGGTACTATAGGTACTCATTCTGTAATAATTTCGCGGTCAAGCTTCTTTTCTACTTAAAAAATTAGTTGCAACATACATCAGATATATTTTATTATTCCAAAAAAGCACCACAAGTACAAAATTAAAATAGTTTTGAAAATACGAAAATTTTCATAAAACACAACTGAAACTGAATTTTTTCACGTCTTACAGCATGAAGTTCCCCTGAAAATTTTGTTGTCCTGCTTCATGAATTAGTCTTACTTTTGTCGGCTAAAGATTGGTAATTTACTAAATGGAATGGGGTGTTAGAAACAGATGCTGCATTTCCTCCGGCCGCCGTTGCCGGTTGTTAAAACCTGAGTTTATATTTAAAAAATCGTAAATAGCAATGAACGATCGATCCTGGGATCACCGTACATTTAAATTTCTTTTTTTTCTTTGAAGAAACGGGCCCGTGTTCCGGCAAACATATGGAACACCGGTTGTTACGCCACTGACGTCATCTCAAAATTTCGCTGATATATCGTATCTTAAATGTGCAAAGTATGAGGAGACAATACTTGTGATTTATCACTATACAAAAAAAAACATTGGATTTGCTTAAACGGGGTGTCTCAAAATTTTAATGACTGAGTCAATTTATTTTATTGATTAAATCAAGAATTGCAAAACTGAATACTTTGAAATCTTGCAGACGTTTTGAAGTTATTGTAAGAATCTTAACTTTTTAATCAAAGTGTATCTGTTTATCAACCCCAAAACATTGATTACGTCATCTCAAAATTTTGCCGAATAAATCCTTTCGAAAATGTGCAAAATATGATCAGACTATACTTGTAATTTATCATTGCATTCATATTTTTTAGATCTGCTTATACAGGATGACTCAAAAAAATTAATGAATCAGTCAAGTTATTATTGATCAAATTACGAACGAGCCGTGACTTCCAGAGTGAAAGCGAAATTATTGAAATATCCCGTCACAGGCTCACAGAACTCTAATGAGAAGAATCTATAGTAGATATAAAGACACGGTTCTGAAAGCGAGGGAAGTACTGTCTAAACTCTTTAGACCAATTTTTTAATAACGCATCTGGCATGCTTTCTGAATGTCAATTTATCGTCCATTTGTATTCCTAAATATTTAATTAACTTAACTATGATATTGGATATTTCATCAGTGCTAATTACATAGAACTATAGTTCTGTGGTTTTAACGTTTTTCAGTTGTTAATTACAGTAATAAGCTCGCAACAACAAAAGAGTCATTTTCAAAACTCTTGGTGCTTGCGTACGAAAATTTTGTTTTGGTGATAGGAAGCGAAGACCATGAAAATAATGATTTATTCTGTTAAACAAGACACTTTTATTGTTATGTCTTGTTATCGCAATGCGACATTCGTAAACGAAGAGTGGCTGTATTCTGTAAACGCTTGAAAGCAAGAATATCTGGCCAAATACCGTGAGTTAATAATTCAAGAAACATCGTTAGAGGCTCACATTAGAGATGTAATCAACAGATTTTTTGGAACTGGCAGTGTCAACAAATGGAAATCTCCTGGAAGACTTTTAGTATCTGGGGAAGTTGTTGATAATTTGAGACGACTTGAGCAGAATCCTCAAATATCTTTGACAAGATTTCCTTATTAGGCAACCAGTTATACAGATGCGTGTGGTATTTGGCGTCCTTGGACATTTTGTAAAGTTCAAAACTGAGAGGCGGTACATTTTCATGACCTACTTCGACCCTATAATCTTTTATAGAAACCCTGTATATTATATTAGTGAGATATTTGTACTTAAAATGTAATGCCAGTGATGACAGGTGAATCCAGCATCCGGCTCCTGTCCGAATGCTGACAACCACTGAAATATACTGAATTGATGAATGAGAAAATAAGGTATTTCGAAACTTTCCGTCATTCAAAATTTACCGGTTACTTCATTATTTAGTTTACAACGACAACATATAGCGAACAATGCAGATTTCTACGAATTTCATATTATATATACCTACATATTTTATAGAATATAACATTTTATTTAAGACAGGATATGATTAATAAAAAGCTCGAATTGGTGTTGAATGAGCATCACATGAGCATGCTTTTGTATCACAACGGAGAATGCGAAAAGCAATTAACAATGTAATGCCAACTTTGAGGATGATGTTTATCAGATACACTTTAGACAATTTAAAAAACGCTTGAAATATGTATCATCTTGGAACATAAGTAACTGAAAAAAATTATTAGAAAAATTATTTATCCGAATAATTTTTTACAAAACTCATATTTTAAATTGCGCAACATATTTATATCCGTTACTGTCACACGGTCTACCCTGATGGAACTCTGATGGCCATGACATTTACTTGGTTTTACACTTACATTGCTTTAAACTACATAAAGACTTACAATAGTGATTATCAGTTATTCACATTATAATTTTAATTGAACTTTAACCAGTAACTTTGTGAAACAACAGAAAATCCTGCAAGTGAGGATATCCTATGAATGGTAGTGGTCAACAAAGCAGTCATCACCGTCATTACAGCAAAGAACAAGGAGTAAATTTTAATGATAATGACTAATAACAATATGATACTATTTTACTATTGATAATATGTACTACGAAAACATAGGATATTTGTTAACGTTAGTCCTTGTTACACTATGATGGGTAGTGTGGATTGCTTTTTTTGTTGCTTTATCCTCTCTTTTTATTTCTTACTAATTTAAGTCCTTATTTTATTTTATCGGTTTTCGCGCAAAATTCCATGGTTCGTTGTTGCGCATGCGCCCTAAACCATTTTTCTTCCATGTCGCCGTTTCGTGAAATGTGATTCTTCTGCATTGACAGAGTTGGCCGTTTAACCGTTTGTAATCAGAATTTTATTCTTTTATTTTTAACGTAAAGTTGTTGTATTACGATAAGGACTAAAATAAATTCATTCAAAATGTTTTGGGGTGAGTAAAAACACTGAAATTACATGTAGTTAATTTGCCGCTTTTTTACCACGTGTTTTAATGTAAGAACGCTATGATTTTTTCTTAATTACAATTAATACCAGTTATAATTTGCAATAGGTTTAATTATGGAACCGGGTAGATGCTACACCCAAAAAGTAAAAGTTTCATTCCACGTGTCGATGGCCGCCTTGGACATTTCGAATTCCAGTGATGATCCAGCACAAGTAATGTGTGTTTTTGAAGGGCGAAATTATCTTTTATGTACTCTCAACAAAAAAGATAAAGTCCAGTGTCCCCTAGATCTTAATTTTGAGGTAATACTTTGTAAAAGCAAAAGCCTTGTTCATCAACAAGTATTTGTAGGCTGGTTCAAAAGTATCTTTCGCTACTAATGGAAAAGCCCATGTGCACTTAAGTGGATACTTAATATCGGGAGATGACTTTTTTAATGAAGAAATTGAAGAGGAAGAAGTCTCACAAATTGCAGAAAAAAAGCGTCCCAAAAAAGAAGCAGTAGATGGCCGTAAGAAATTAGTTTTTTGGTTGGTACTATGTTTAAACATTGCTGTTTACAGCTCCCACCAAAAAGTCTAAAACAACAAAAAATAATGCAGTTACTGCTTCAGAAGTAGAAGAAGAAGAAGATGATGAATCAGATTCAAGTTTTGATATTGATGAAGCAATCGACGAGGAGGAGGGTGATGAAGAAGAATCTGAGGATGAAGAAGAGGGTGAAGCAGAGGACGAAGAGGGAGAGGAGGAGGTAATTTAATTAAAAATTGGATTGCCATTTTTATTAATGATTGTCATTAGGAAGATGATGAGGACGCTTCTAGTTTGAGCAATGAAGAAGATGAAGAAAGTGAAGAAGAAAAAGTTGTTAAACCAAAACAAAATGGTGTAACTACTAAAACAAATGCAAAACAAAAACAGAAAACGCAAGAGAAAGTTCCTAAAGAAAAACCTAAAAAACAAGAAAAGAAAGAACCACAACAGAAATTAAAAAAGACTGTTTTAAAAGGAGGAGTTATTGTACAAGACCTGAAGGAAGGTGCTGGTGAACCTGTGAAAGAGGGCAAATTTGTTCATGTCTACTATGAAGGACGCCTCAAAGACAACAATAAAATGTTTGATTCAACAACAAAAGGCCCTGGATTTAGTTTTAGAGTTGGAAAAGGAGAGGTGATTAAAGGCTGGGATATTGGCTTGGTAGGAATGAAGGTTGGAGGAAAGAGGCGCATTGTTTGCCCACCCAAGGTTGCTTATGGTTCAGACGGTTCCCCACCAGTTATTCCACCAAATGCTGTTCTTGTGTTTGATGTTGAAGTTAAAAAAATCAGTTAAATTTACATGTTTACTGTCTACATTATAATGCTACTTTGTTATTACTGTCTGATGTGTAATCTCTAAGTATTATACCCTTTTTTACGCCAACATTCTGTCTTACATTTTGATTTTAAATTTAAAATTAAAACATATTTTCATTAACAGGTATATCTTTGAAATAATGAACAATTTTTATGTGTATTTTAATACCATTACTTATAAAAATTAAAACGGGCCTGACCATTCCATTACAATTTGTTTACGTAATTGTTAAATCTGTTGTGGACTATCATTACGGCGCAGATCTACTCCAGAGGACCGTGGTGTAGTTATAAAATATCTGTCAATTGTCAAATCAATGTCAAAGAAGTCGAGGTCGTCTAGGTTGTAAGAGCAGTTGCTACAATTGTAAAGTGTATTTAACCAGTGTGCAAATTAAATATAAGATGTTTGCTCTAAGAAGACTTGCTACCAATGCTATTATGTAAGAAAAGGAAATTTTCTGTTTAGAAAACTAACCTCACTTTTTGCAGTTCAAATACTCGGGCAGCTCATGCCTTGCCCGAACTACCTTATGCTTATGAAGCCCTCGAGCCTATCGTTTCTCGAGATATTATGAGTCTTCATCATACTAAGCATCATCAAACCTATGTCACTAATTTAAATGCAGCCGAAGAAAAATTAAAAACTGCCCTCAGCAAAGGTGACATAAGGTAGAATTTCTGTCTGATTGTGTATTCTTTTTAATGAGCGAAGAATTTTAGTACTGTTGTGTCCTTAGAACCAGCATTGAGATTCAACGGAGGCGGGCATCTAAATCATTCAATTTTTTGGAAAAATCTATCCCCTGAATCAACACAGCCAAGCGAACCTCTTAAAAAAGCAATTGAATCATCATTTGGAAGCATTGAACAGTTGAAAGATCAATTATCTGCTTCGTCGATTGGAGTGCAAGGATCTGGTTGGGGCTGGTTAGGTTATTGCCCAAAATCGGGATGTTTGAAAATTGCAACTTGTGCTAACCAAGACCCTCTTCAAGCTACAACAGGGCTTATTCCGCTCTTAGGAATAGACGTGTGGGAACACGCTTATTATTTGCAATATAAGAACGTTAGGGCGGATTACGTGAAAGCTATTTTTGAAGTAGTCAATTGGAAAGATGTTTCAGAAAGATTCGAAAAAGCAAAATGTTAAAATCCTCGCTCCTGGTAATGTGAAAATAAAAGGCTAATGGTTAGTTTAAAATTTATTTGCCACTACAAAATATTGGACGTTCAATAGATCACAGCAGTTTAATCACTGTAATACTGAATTTCTCAATTGTCATGTAAATTTATTTGAGATGATTCTAGTAAGTAAATAAATAAGTGCAATGTAGTTTAAATAACTCTTTCAATCTAAGTGCTTTCAGCTAGTATTTTTAACCAAATTTCTGGATTATAACTGGGTTGTTCGCCTCCCAGTTCTGCTGGTAAAATATCTTTGTGTACATAATCATGCAGAGTGCTTAAATTGTTGCCATGCACGAAAATTCTTTCCTTAATCTTTTCTTTCAGAAATGGTTTGATTATCGTTAAAGCTGCCTCTACATACCATGGTTGACCAATAAAATGTATTCCCTTAAATTTAGCTGGAAAGCAATCTTGCAAACCTTCAATCATTAACTTCAAAATTGAGGGTTTCAAATTTGTGCTTTGTCTAAATGAAAACTCAGTCCAGTCAACGATCACAACAAATCCTCTAGCCTGATTATGAATATCATTAGATAAAAATTCTAAACTCAGTAAAATGGAACGATAAATACTTATCAAACTATAACTACAATCCCAGTTTGTGGCGTTCAATATTAAAACACACCTCCCCTTTCGATCTTTGGAAGACAAAACACCAGGAAGACCACTTTCTAAAGCATTTCGTATATCTGCTGATTCTACATTAAAATTCTCAAATATCATTTGATTCTTTTTCCTGTACCAGTAGTAATTTTGTAATAGCAGGAAAGTATCAGGTATATTAAATTTTCTAGCATAAAGAAATTTGAGAAGAGTTTTATCATCTTGCTGAACGTTGTTTTTTAATTCGACGTCACTGGATTGTTGAATGATGGTGCGAAGTCCTTGAATTGAAGTATTCTTGTCAATAGGTTCATTTTTCATGGGTTCTGGAATGATTTTTTGAGGGCGCCATTCATATTGGAGATATTCTGCCATAGATCTGTAACAAAATGGGCAGGTTACTGACACGGTATTTCTCGGAAGCTCTTATCTACAGGTATTGTAAAAATTATTTTGTGTTGAGTCAGATGGTAATGCACCTAAGCTCTTTTAAAGGAAATGAAAACTCGTAACAATACCTGGATATATGTGCGGTATGTGAATGACTATTAATGTAAACAGTAGAAATAATAGAATGAACTACTTTTTTCCGAAACAAAAATTTAATACATACTTGGTAAAAAATTGGTGACCAGACAAAAATGGCAAAATTATTAATTTCGAAAGATTGTGAAATTTTTTACTTGTTTTTTTATTCAAATTATAGAAAAATGTATCTGTTTATAGCACACGTTATAAAATGAAGCAACGTTTATCAAAAAATATTTGAACTGTACAACAAAATATTTTGACGAATTTATGGGCAAAGCAAAGAGTAATAAATAATGATCCCGTATAAAATTTTGTTCTCTTAGTTCGGTTTAAATTTGTTTATTTTTTGTTTCTTCGCAAACATGATTGCCGGTACTGCAAGAATCAGGTATTAAAAAACGTGTCCAACAAGCAGGTGTTTACGAAAGGCTTCACGAATTATTCGTCGCCAAATTACATATACGTAATTTGTACGTCCTTGCCTATTGCGATTGAAAAACTCACCTTGTTCTGTTTTACCGATATTTGTCGCCACGTAAGATAATTTAACGTTGAAACTTCACTAACATTTTATGCAAAACTAGTTAATTTATAGAATATAAAGTCGTTATCACAACCGCTAAAACAACAGAGCAGCTGAATACCGTAAATTTTGCTGCACGACAGTAAAATTTCACTGATGGTGATTCATTCCATGGTACCACCACCACATTCTGCTCGATGCTTGATGGAATGGGAAATGGTACCTACCGGACGACCGACGAGAAACGAAAATCATTGGTACAATTACCTGGGCTTTGACGTACGACGTACAAATCTGTAATGGGTTTGTATTATTACAATTTGTATTGCGTCAAAGATATGGGCACTAAAATTGTTCTAATTAAATATTTAAAGTAAACATTTAAAGGTTGCGCAGCGTAAGCTAAATATTATTGCCAGTGGCATATGGTATGCATGGCAATGTAGGCATGGCACTGATAATAAAGCGATAAATGTATCGATCGTGGGGTATTGATGATATATTTTAATATTTTCACATTGAATACATAAGTAAATAGAGATAAAGTGAATTAAAAAAAATGGGAAGAGTGTGTGCTACCACTTTATAGGGAGAGAGGGTATTTTGACTAGACGATGTGTGCTAAGTAGTTTGATTAACAAAATTAATTAAAACTGACGCTTGAATTAAAACAGTAGGTCTATCGAAAAATGAGTTCTCAAGTATTTTTGCAAGTCGTGTCACAGAAAACGGGGCAATTGTGGCCACCATTTCAGTTAAGTACAGGGTGATATAGCTAAAAGGGGACACTTCCAATAACTTTTTATTTATAAATCTATGCTAACGGAATTTAGTACTCCCTCCGTCCGAAAATATGGTATACTTTTTAAATTTATTTTTGTCCGAAATTGGGGTATACATTTGTAACTTTATTTAATAATACGATTACTATTATAACGACGATACATTTCAATTTATATGGAATGGGACTTTATTTAGAGCTTCTAGAGAACATACCAATCTCGTTGGTAACCTTCCCTCACGACGAAGTTTGGATTTATTAAGATGAAGAATTTTATACTTAAAATTAAATAAATAATTAAATAAATAAATTAGATTATTATAATACATTATTATTATAAGACCCACCACTGACCCGGAAATGACCGGCATTCAGGCAAGACTTCTATCATTACGGGTACTAAGATCAAGTAATGATATGCATTGATTAATTTAATTTAATTATTCTTTCTAAAATCTCTTATTTTTTAAATTCAGCGGGTGTCGATTTATTTTGTTGTTATTGATGTAGTAATTTTCTTGGTCACTTTTTTAACAGAAACGAACGTAGATCTCAGTCCACTATTTATATGCTGTTCCATTATTATACAAGTTGCAAACAAAATTACTTGATTATATTATCATAATTTGCTGGTCATCACTCGTTAACAGTAGCGGCTCGTGGTCTTTTCGTTAGGTGAGGCAACACTTTCGTTTCAAAAGCGGCAGGTATTAATTAACATGTTCGCAATTACTTTTGTTAAAAGACAGATTGTTTATTCGTTTTTATGAAAACAATACAAATAACTCTAAGTCAGGAACATCTCTATATGGGTACACTTCTCGAATAAAAAACATTTACCTAATTGCTTCACACAAACCAACGAGAAGGTGTAAAGACTACAGATTTTGCTTTATTAGCATTAAAATAAAATTCATATGATCTAGGGCTGATTTAAATATATTAATCAATTAATTAATAAAGTTCTGCTCAAATGTGGATGAGAGGTTCTAAATCTTTGACCTATAATTGTTCGTGGTAAGAAAACCGTGCTTAAATATTTAAACATTATAAGAAATTCTGGAGGTTAGGGATTCTTATGTTCCTATCAGCATTCCAAAACTGAGATTTTCATTGTCCTACTGTTTTCAAGTTAACTTAAAAGTTTTAATACATAACCTCGGTGAACACCTTTCCTTGCATCTAATTAATGCACAACTAAATGCATTCAACATCCCTGTTCAGCATTGTGCCGTTTCACCGGGAGATTAAAAAATTCGATCTGATTGGCTTAAGGACGGTAGGCGTTGGTGCCTCCGCTGGCGCTTTGATAAAGCACTGATGACTATTGTCTTTCTCAAAAACATATTAGCACCACTGACTAATCATACTGAAGATATCCGTCTAGCTGAGGCATGCCTCCGTCTGAAGCTGGCCTACACAGTGATGATCAGCGCTTATTCCTGTCGAAAGCGCGTACTTCAAATATGTGACCAAGATGCGTTTTAATAAATCACAGGGTTCTATAAAAGTTATTTGCTATATCTTTAAAATATATTGAAGTTAACAGATATTAAAACAAAAACTAATAGTCAATTTTTCCAGGGGAGGCACTGCCTCCCCTGACGAGCCGCCACTGCTCGTTAATTATAATAATTTTGTAAAATGTATATCATATTTTTGAACAGAGGAAATATATAAATAAAGTCGAATATGCGTCATTTCATTAACATGAGATAAGTGATAGGAAACAAAATAATTATTAATAAAAACCTAGCAAAAAATTGTTTTTTCTCCAACCGTCTTAAAATATGACACTTTTAATGACAATTTCAACACTAAAAGTAGGCGTTTTTGTAATTAGGAAAAAAAAACTTGCGTTACAACATTCACTTTTAATCCTAGGATTAAAAAATCTTTTAAATGCTAGGATTAAAAACAAATAATAATTAATCTCAAACTAAATTTTTTAGTCAATTTTGAAAATATTAATAATGTTGTCTTTAATATTTTATAATTTTATTAATAATTAAACGCATTACATAATTTCTAAATTTTAAAATTGTCAATTTTAAAAATTTAGCTACTTCTCCTGGAACATCGCTAAACTTGTGAATCCCGACTACTTGTCGCTGATTCCATTTAGGTATTTAACGAAAAATCGACGTTCATGAAAATTTTTTGGTCGAAGAGCTATATATTTTTGGTAAGGAAATATTAAAATATTTTCCCCCCGTAACGGTAAATGATTTTGGCTTTTTAGTTTTCGTCTGAGGAATCGTTACAAGTTAACTTGATTTAACATTTTCAATAATGTCTTTTCTTAATTCCACCAATTCCTGACAACAGCATGCGCCACTCACTTCGCAGATTACAACGACCTGAAGAACAACTTATAAATTGCATCACGTCATTAATTTAAGTTGTGAACTTACTTTCGTAAATGAATATTTTTCATCTGGAGCATAGCTTCAAAATTTTATAATTAGTCATTTTGTTAAAACTCTTGATTTCTTTGACTTGTAACCTTCCGCTTGCCAAATCGGCAAAATACACCAGCAAATCATTCTCGGAATAGGTTTCAATGTTTTTTTCCTTACACCATCTCATGAAGCGCTTGTAGACAAAGTCATAGATTTCACGCGATTTTGTTGGAAGTAATCTGCAATCACTTGTGCGTTTTCGACCACATCTGGAGGCAAATCTTCTTCAACATTCATTATTGGCGAAAAATGAATCAATTTTTGATACCTTTTGAAAATCAATGACAACGTAAATTAAAAATAGGGAATCATGACTACGTAGGTACCAGACTGCTGAATCCTTTTCCATTACATTTTTTTTTATTGAATTAATTCCTATTTTTGTGTTACATTAATGGGTGGAGAATAAAATAGCATGTTTCATTCCGATTGAATTCAAAATTTTGCTCGCCAAAAAAAAACACTTGTAATGTTAATAAAACAATATTTAGTACTATATATTTTACTATAAAAATGAGAAAAAAATACTCTGCAGAGTTCAATATTTATTATTTTTGATAGGTTTTATTTCCGTTTCTATAATATTATTTTCTTAAAGCATTTTCTGTGTTTTCTTCTCTAAACACGTTTTTAAGTAAGTAATGAACTAATGAAGCATTTATTTTTGAGACTCATGAAATGATTTAATTTATTATGCTTTTCTGAACCATCCACCCAATTTACCAAATTGTACGTCAAGTTGCACTAGCGAACAACGTTAGTCAGAAAATTATTATTTTTTTTTTTAAGAAAAATTGCAATAATTTGCGAATATTATGTAGTGAAGCTAATTTTAAATAATAAAAAAAAAAAAAAATGCAAAATCTGGAAAATAAAAAAAGTTAAATGATATTTCTGTAATATATTTTTTCCGTTTCTTGTTTTAAAGCAGTGAATTTACGTAGGTATGCACGCGGACTATTTTTCTCCATTTGCAAATTTAATATTAGTATTACTTTTGGCTAATAAATAAAAAAGTTATTCGAAGTGTCCCATTTTAGATGACTCACCCTGTACATAATTTTAAAAGGAAATATTTATTGTACTATTCTGAACAGTGAACAATACATTTTCTCGCTTGACAATATTTAGGATTACAACTGTTTTATTAAAATTTATATTTTTTAATTTCGTGAGCATAAGCTAGGAACTATTGTAACAGAGTATTTAGATAAATGTCTAATTTTACGCTTTGTTGATATTTTACAGTGTGTAGAATATAACAATGTCCGTCGTCTGTCTGTCTGTCATGTCGTCGTTATCTGCTCTATGTTTACATTTTTATTAGACAGATAATCTCAGACATTACAATGTACTAATGACTATAGAAAATTTGTGCGCTTTTTAAGATTACCGAGTAGGTATGTGATGGCAAAGCAAAAGTCTAACTAATCTACTCATCTCCACAACAATTTGACGACGTTATCTCAAAGTTTTATTACGTAAATCTCACTTGAAAATTATTATTTATTTATTTATTTATTTATTTATTTAAACTACAGCCCCAACAGGCAAAAGCCCAATTACGGAGACAAAAAAAAAAAAAGAAACAAAACTAAAACTGAAAATATGATATAGTTAGACAAAACCAATAAAATTATTATAATATTTAATATAACCAACAGCTGAATTACTCAATGAGAACTACTATTATACCAAATATTTAACACTACAAAGATACTATTTAAACATATACCACTCCATTATTGGTTAACTATAATGAAGACAAGTCTTAATAGTTATTCTCTCTAAAAGAATATTAAGGAATACATAAATGACCAAACATAACAAATAATAATTATTACGGACTGTAGACAAAAGAATAGCACACCTAACACAAAATGGTAGAAGCACTAGCACAAATGCTAGCCAAACTGTCATAAAACATGTCACATCTATAAGAGACACAATTGAAATTTTTACAACTCACAAACAGTGGACACTTTCTTCCAAGATTGGTCATACAACGACGA